CTTCTGGGCTAATGCGGGTGTCTTCTTTCTCAAACAGTCCCCTCCATTCTTCCAACAATGCACTTTCTTCACTTTTTTCTTTTCCACAATCTCTTTCCCACCCAATGGGAAACCTAAAACACGCTGCGCATCTCTTTCTCGTATTGGCACATTTTTTGGCATTGAAGTTATCAACCACCCAAAAATCCATTCTTGCAGGAAGTTTTGCAATCTCCATATCTATCAAATCCCCAAAACCTATCATTTGAATGTCCCTTTTCTGGGCATCAGTCATTTCGGTTATAGCTTTCACCAACAAGTTTGGTGATGATCTTGTCCTTAAAGTTCTGTATCTTTCCTTCATCTGCGTAATACCTACCTTCACTTTTTTTCTATTTGCATCCTCTATTAAGTGAGTTACAACTCCAGCTTTCAGTGGTTGTATCTCAAAGTCATCATCGATATCATCTCCCTCCACTTCATCTCTTTGTCTCCTGCCTCTACCATATTCTTTTGCATCAACAACCTTACTACATCCATTGATCAAAGCTGTGCTTTTGGGGTTCTCCCGTTTTTCTTTTTTACGTGACCTGAGAATTGTTTCCCTTGTGCCCTACATCATACATTTTGATGCACATTTAGAAAACATATGATGCATATTTAAATTATCATCACCATTTAGCACTTATACAAAATTCATGTTTCACGTGCATGAAGTTTTGGATATGCAATTGACATTGATCCCACATGCATTTTTCACAAACAATCACACTTCTGTATTACGTGCACAATATCAGTTTCATACTTCACAATGTCAACACTAATTGACTAAATGCACCTTATGAAGGTAATATCACACTTTTTGCATTATTTAATTCACTTCTGTAGCATTATGTTGAAATATATTTAGCAGTAATGTATTCTTTCTTTATTAATGCACGATGGTATGTTACGGTTGCACTTTGACCTAATTTCAGTGCAATTTTATACCATATCAGAAATGGCTCATGCAATCTTCAACTCTAATGCAATTTTACTTAAACATGACACTTTCTAAGGTAAACTAATGCACTTTTGTTAATTTGAAATGCTTACAATTCCAAAACTAATACAATCTTACTTCTGTTCGAAGCACACTAATAATTTATTAGTACACTTTTTACTAATTTTAACGCACTTTCTCATCATTTCACCGTAATATATACCTGCTTTAAAGTTTTTTTAAATTAAGTTATAATTATTATTATTTGAACACTTGCTAATAAAAAGTACATCCTCTAATGAGGTAGAAATCTAAAGAAACAACATGAAGTTATTGAGGGAAAACAACGCTAATCAAATTAGAAAACTAGTGAGGAGACCAAATCGGCCAAATAAGAACCCCGGAGCCCGCTGAAGGTAGAAAACACCATCAAAATCCCAAAAAGCCAAAATCCCTTTGTAGATTGCAATGACAAAATGGAGCTACCCGGCAACCTCATTTATAGCTTGTAGTCGGGCGCTTCGTCTAAGCACAAGTTGAGATGCTATCTTGTAGTTAAGATCACTTGAACGATCTAGCAATTTTTGATCCAGTAGGGGCCTTCTTATCGGCGTAATGTTATCCTCTCCCGAAGACTGAGGATCACTCTTAATTAATTTATGTTGGCTTTGTAAAGGGAATGACACATGAATAGGTGAAACGTCCATGATGTCTTCCACATAACTCTCGTCCTCTCCATTTACCCTACCCTCACCCGCCTGACAAGAGATAATATCCTTATGAATGTTTTCAGTGATAGGAGTAGAGGAACATCCAATATTAAGCAAATATGCCTGGAAAAGCAAAGAAGAAATAGACTCAAAATTATCTGAAACATGGCACTCGATCAACCGAGCATAAATCAACACATTCCGCCAAGCTCTTCGATAAAGACTGCTTACTAGCATTTTCCAAAATGTCCCATTGGCTTAATAAAGCAGAGTGGAAATGTTTAGTTCCTTCACCCCTCCAACCACCGGGGATAATAATAGTAGATCTGCCTTTTGTGTCGATAGCCTGTAGTCAAATGAATCTGCCAAATCTGTTCCCTTCAAAAGATAAGAGAAGCTTACGATTTTTTTCATACCTCGTGAAAGTCCAGGAGCTTTCTGATAGAATTTGACATAAGGCATAACATAGCCACTGAGCCCTATTGACGTGCACTTTGTCGTAGTGCGTCAAAATAAATTCAATACTAGCACTAATACGTAGTATATGTGAAGTAGAGTTCGTATCCACAGGTAAAGGGATAATTCTCTTTTTATGAAACTAGTAAATAAAAGGGGGGTTTTGAGATTGAATGATTTAATTTAAAAACTCAGATGAACAACCTATATGTGTTTAAATTCAAAGATAAAAGAACATGACATTGCTAGTCTTCCACTTGTTGATATATTTTAGTCGATCATTGTTATATCTATAACTTATTCCCTCTCAAATACTCAATCGAGGAGTATATCCAATTCATCGACGATAGTTATTAACAACAACCATTCATTAATAACCCTTACTATTAGTGAAGTATAGAACACCGCCATATACCGACTTGATAGTAGCATTTAATCTCTTAACTCCTTGATGAAATCAATTGAGATTGATAACCTCAAGACAACGGTTTCAGTTTAACCAACAAAATTAGTCCCTCTTAAGTTTATCAACCACGACCGTGCATTAATAAACCGATGTTACTTACTTGTGAAACCATCAACGATTAATCATCGGTTCATCGATCGTTTCTAGTAATAATTAATATATGAAACAAAACTAGTTGATCCTTTAAGTAATGTTCAAAATATTAATATGAAATATGAATAGGAATTAATTTATATTCAAGGAAGAATATTATTAAAAGAGATGAATCCTACTATAATAATATCAAGATGTTAACTAATTGTCTTCTTAGCAACACTCCCCAACATTAATATAGAGGAAGAAAATACTACTCTAACTAATGTTAAGATGTTAACTAATTGTCATCTTAACAACACTCCCCAACATTAATATAGAGATAGTATTAAGGAAAGACTAATAATTAATATTCAAGGGAAGAAGTTAAGAAAATAACTCACAACTTTAATAATCAACAAGCTTCAAGAGCAACACCAAGAATTGGAAGTTTAGCTCCTCATTTGGAGACTAAACATAGCTAGAAAAATATAAAGAAATGTTATTCTAAACTGAGCTTAAGAATATGGAAGAAGGGATGATTTTTTGTGAAGAAAAAGTGTGCTATTTATAGGTGTTTTTCAACACCTTGGGCCAGGTACCCGACCGGGTCAAGTGCCCACCCGACCGGGTCCGGTCAAAATCAGATATCCTTTACGTTCTGGTTATCTTCGACACATTAAAATGTCCCGGGTCAAGTCAGACCCGACCGGGTGCAATACCTCACCCGACCGGGTCCAGCTCTTTCCTCAGCAGTTCGGTTTTTAAATCAGACCCGACCGGGTGAAGTTTTCTACCCGGTCGGGTATTTGCTCCTGGACAGTCAAAATTCCTTTTTCTTCACTTCAAAGTCCTCCTTTTCAACACCATAATTCCTAATTCTACATTACAACTTACAAATGAAGATTAAAATACAATTACAACTAAAATCACACAAATGTTTACAAACTAAATAAAATGGTAAACAATCCACACAAATCAAACATAAAAAGATGCATTTATGCACTACTAATTAGTGCATATCACCTATCCCTGTCTAATGAAATAGAATAATTTTGTTTGTCCTTGAATTGACTAATTTGTAGAAGTGAAGACTCCACCTGAAATTCAAAAATTTTACTTTCAATACTTTAACTAAAACAGTGTACTACACAAAGCCAATAATAATTAAAAAGCACACTATAGACAGCTACTACACTTTCCACTTAACTTAATTCACTTTTGCAACAATACTTTCAAATATAACTCTAACACTAATGAACTCTTAATTTACTACACTAGTCCACTTTATAGTTATTCAACTGCACTTTTAAACAATTCACTTCTATGTTAACAGACCAAATTCACTTTTACTTTAACCCACTCACAACACTAATTTAATGCACTATAGTTCCCTGATCGTTCAAAATACCATCGTAGTGCTGCACTGTATTATTTATTTACTTACATTGCTTAAGAGACAATCGTTCCTACTTTACTCAACTAAACTTCCTGAAATTCATTTACCGTCATTCATCCGCTCGATCTCTAAAAAAATATTTAGTGCACAAATATAAACGAACTCATCTATGTAACAAACTAGATACTCCGTATTACCTTTTTCTGCACTTTTTTTGCTTCCTGAAGCCTTTTCATTTTCGTTCATCTGCTCCATTCTTTGCTAATTCCTCCTAGGGTTTCGCCGACAGTTGATTGTTGATATTCTCTTGGATCGCTTCGTCGCACCTTGTTCGAATAGAAAAACTGTGCATAAGGTAGTTGTGTTTTTTTGAATGATGATAGCGGCAGATTCGTATTGGTGCGTCTAGTCATGCACTCGGGCCGGTTCGGGGTCGGGCCTCTGGTTTATAAAAGGTGGGCCCGGATCAGGCCCGAGGTAAGAACGGTTCCGAATCGAATCCACCCTTAGGTGCGTCCAACCACCTTTGTAGTCTTTGACTCAATTTCCCTCTACTCATTAATTTTATGCACTCTAGTCGTTTGGAAGTCAACACGCGCGCTCATGTGCTTCCCCCCAAAATATATCAAGGGCCCAAAATATATAGTTTTATTATATTGCGTTGACCGGGTTTACCGGTCTTGACCGGTTTGACCCACCGGGTCCGGGTTGACCCTTGACCCGGTAATTTTTCCGGGTCACCTTCCGGTCCGGTTTTTTCTTTGAAATTGTCCCAAACCGCGAAGGCATACATAATTGGAATTGGACATTCATTTCCCAGAACTAGATGATTGCCTTATTTTTGAGAATAAAAGCTGTTGTCCAATTGCTACGGTATTATAATCATTTGAAAATAATATTTTGGAGCTGGAAGCAATAGAAGGGGATAGGGTAAGATAGAGAAGAAAAAAATCTTCTTATGCACTATTAGAGTTATGTATTTATTATTATTAGAGTTTCTGATACACCCACACATATGGACACGATTGAATATGAAGTACATTGAGTGTGGGAAAAGCTTGTAGCAAAAAAATAAAAAATAATCTATTGCACAAATATATACTCTTCAAAGAGAGAGAATTGTTGCATTCTCCGCTGATTGCGCCAGTGTAATAAATTAAACCAGTGCAATTCAGAGAGCCATTCTGCTGCAAAATTCTCAACCACAACTGCAGTATATAAACAAGGACTGTGTGGATATGTGTGTGGGTAGAATGTGATGCCAATGCAAAATTCTCAGACTAAAAATTCAATATGTGCAACAAGAAGAAGGGTGTTTAGTGGCAGAGACTTCATCAATGTGAATGATCTCCTTTCCTCCTTGCAATGATCTACTACTGACCCCCACGTTCATCGCCTTAGCTTCTAAGGCTTTCTGGCCTACAATGTGATAAATCTTTGTGATCATCTGCAGAAATGCCTCTTCCACATTCAGATTCTCCTTCGCAGATGTTTCCAAGAAGGAGAAGCCCTCGAGGCGTGCGAGGCTGTGCCCATCTTCTTGCTTCACTTCTCTTGCGCTTCCCAGATCACATTTGTTTCCCACCAAAACAATCACCATGTCTGATCCCCCGAGCTCCCTCAGCTCAACTACCCATTTTCTTAGACTTTCAAATGTTGTTCTTCGCGTTATGTCGTACACCAGTAGAGCCCCCTGTGCCCCGCGGTAGTATGAGCTTGTGATGGCTCTAAACCTGCCAAGTTATCACTCTTTTCATGCTTGGGTTGTACACAAGGTTTAGTGCCCGTTTGATAAGGGATATTTTAATGGAGTTAAGAGAGTTTTGAGTTTGGGTTCCTTATGGAGTTAGATAGTTTATTTGGCATCATCATCACCGTTCATCATTAGAGTGGGGCCTGCCCAATATATAGAAATAAATATAAATGTATGGTGATGATGATATCATCTAGCTCTACCTCTTCCGTATGGCTCCTTTTGCATGTTTGGTATGTAAGTATGTTCGGTAATCAAAGATGTGGGAGGCATAGTTAGAACTAACAAACTGGTTTTGGAGCAATCAACACGCGTGCCAACCACAAAACAAAAAATTCTGATAAATGGAAGGAAGGATGATGATAATGCAATGGGAACTTTTTTACAATAAAAGATGAATCCTTTCTATCCAAGATGTTGAAATTTTAGTTTAGATAGACAAAACACCCCAACAAGTAAGAAAATCCACAATCTAACTATCCCTACAATGAAATTAGGAATACCAGAAATCAAATAAATTTGTTCTTACAACTTTTTTATTTGTTACAGAAACAAACTCAGGCAGGCACTAGGATGGACTATTTAAAATAGCATGGAACCTCAAAGTTTAATAACTTTTTATGATTTAAGGTGTAGAAACCCACAACATAAAAATATCAACTAATCAAAATAATTAATTAATCATATAACCAGTTGATTTCTTGATAATTTTAAATTAAAACTAGTTGTTGGCTACCTGACAAATCCAGAACCTAGATAGAGATGAAGCCATCAGCAGTATATGAGAGAGGGAGGAATTGTAGGATATGGATAAGGATAAAAAAACGAATAAGCAGCTGAAATGAAGTTAAGGGGAAGAAGCTAATGACCTTTCTTGACCAGCAGTGTCCCATATCTGAGCCTTGATGAGCTTCCCACCCACCCTAAGATTCCGGTAAGCAAACTCAACTCCAATGGTTGGCTTGGAATCCAAGTGGAACTCATCCTTGGCGAATCTGGAGAGGAGGTTAGACTTCCCCACGGCCGAGTCCCCAACCAGGACGGCCTTAAACAGGTAATCAAACTCTGCATCCAAAGAACCGCCCACCATTTTTCACTCTCTATAACCCAAACCAAACCAAACCAGATTATATTATACTGCAGACATAACATGGAAGCACGGCTCTATCAAGTTTATGAAGCTGAACACAGTTTTATCATCTCAACCATCTATTTAAGTCGAACAATCTGAGGCCTTTATTTTGGATTTTATTGGATAACTATTTATTATTTTATTTGTTTAAATCCCCTCCGTACACCAATAAGGCTATAACCAATTCACGTTCTCAGTTTCAACTAGAGACTCTATTTACACGTTCCCTCTCTTTCAAAGTATCCTTTTTTCCATTAGCCATTTTGTACTCGTATTATTTCTTGTGGTTTGCATTTAAATTATTATTTCGTTCTAATTTTCTCCTTTTGTTCTAGTTGGTTTACAGCCTATTTGATTGAATAAAACTATTTTTAAGGCAAAAGTGTTATCCAATTTCATAAGTTATTACTATTCATCCAACCATTTAAGTGTAGCCAAAAATAATTTGGATACTTTATAATTAGGTAACAACTCCGGTACCCTTCTAAAAAATGGGGTACCGTACTTACCATTCATTTGATTTGACCACACTATTTTATTATTTTTAATTTAGATTTAAATAATTCAACTACTACATTCTCATTGGTCCATTTGTACCATACAATCTACCTTATAATTATTCATTTCAACTTTGTTGTCGTTGTTTTCATACTTATACGTAATGATGAATGAATAAACTTGTGGGAATTTTTCACGATTAGTCCAAAAACTTGTGGGAATTATTCATTTCATAAATAATACGTAGTATCACAAATAAACCGTAGCACACACTTATTGCCTTATTGGACCTCTGGTCGTTCGAAGCTTAGCTCAAATTAGCAACTAAGCATAACGGAAATCAAGTCACGTAAGTTGACAAACTAATTAATACGGAGTGAGAAAAGTATAAAGTACATCAATTATGCATTTTCAGGACCGTCTAATAAATTTGGAGGCCCCGATTCGAAATGACATATTGAAGTCCTCTAAAACAATAAAGAATAACAATTCTAACAATGAAATACAAAAACACTAAATAGTTCATGAAATATAAGTTTTATAATGTTTAAAGTACATCGTTCAAAAAAATGTTTAAAGTACACAAGTTGGACAATCTTAAAGTAATATTACATCGCTAATGAAGTTTCAGATGAATAGGGTTGTTCTCCTAGCAGTTCTCGAAGCAAAATCATCAATCAAATCTTTATAATCTCTTTATCTTCTCAAGAACTTCATTTTCGATTGATATCATTGTCAAGCCATTGAGTCTAGGCAACTCTCCAGGTCTCCTGTTTCGAATCTCCACCCTCCAACCAATGCAAAATCCTGAAAAATGTAAAATTTTAAAATATTAGAAGATTAAAAAGCTCAAAATTTATCATATTCACATATGCTATAATTAAAAATATTTAAAATGAAAATACCTCTTATTCTGGTAATCAGTTCCGGTGCTTGAAGAATTGAAGAGACTGCCTTCCTTGTCCTTGAATCCTTTCTCTTGGATTCAAATTGTTTGGTTCTTAAGTTGTAATTTAAGAAGTGAAAAGTCATTTAAGTTTTAGGAGTAAAAAGGTCCTACCCGAGCACAACCTTACGTAGTACGTACATAATTGCCTAGTTTATTCCTTCTCTATTATGGTAGTTAATAACACATTAAGACTCCACATTAAATGAATAACAAGTACTCACCATTGGAATTTGGAAAGTACACGGCTCTAGTTGAACTACTTAATTGTACAAAAAATCTAAACTAATTAAGCAATTATTATGTACGGTTATATAATTGCTTCAAAAAAAGTACAATTATGTAAAAAAATGTTCCATTTTTCAATTTATAAAAACTAAAAGTTATTCAAATATGAAATAATACACAATATCTAAAAAAATTAACCTATAACTAATACTCCATCCGTTCCAATTTGTAAGATACTTTACGGTTTACAATGTTTGACCGATGATAAAGCAAATTGATCCCTGTGAAAACTCATACTTTCAGAACCTATAACCTATAACTAATACTCCATCCGTTCCAATTAGTTTTAGAAAATATAATTTACATATTCAGAAACTACATTAAAACCGCTACAAAACCTGCCAAAAATAATTCAAATTTCATAAACTTTTGGTATATAAATTAAAAGATTAAGAGTGATTTATGTTGATCGAGTGAACAGTAAATGTATCTTACAATTTGAGACTGAGGGAGTACTACTTAATAAATATTTGGAGGCCCCATGTAGACGTAGGCCCCAGTGCGAAGCACCTATTGCACCTCCTAAAAGACGGCCATGTGTATTTTCTTTGTTTTTTTAATTCAAACTACAAAACAGAAATGTGAAAATTATTTAAAAATAACGTTGAGGTTTATTCCCGTAGATCCGAAGGCCCAGCACAAATCTTAGGATATTAAGGGTGATTTACGATAGAAAGTGATTTAGACTAGAAATCAATGATTCAATCACTATACAGCTCCAATTGCATTAGTGTAATAACGATTACAAGGAAAAAGCCGAAGGGGAGTTGCGGTCTACTTGCTAATACAAGAACAAGAGTGAAGTATATGCTTGTGAGGATTAAAATGCTAACCCTTTACAATGCAATAAAAATGCTATTATGCGTCCACCTAGAGATGAATAGGTGGGGGATGATATGGCTGAATCCGGTTGGTTGCTTTTCCTTGCCACTTGTGCGCCCGTGCGCCCATTTGCAGCCCCCATATTCTAGCATTAAATGCATGCTCAGGACATAAGTCCCCCACTTGTGATGTCTCGAGCGTGCTCGGGACATAAAGAAGTAGAATACTCAAACTTTCGCCGTTCAGTGTATATCGAACGGGGTTTGCTGATTCCCGAAGCCATGATTTGACGGTTCCTTACGGCTGCTGTTTGGGTTCCCTAGTTAAGTCATGATTACCTGACGTTCTGTCTCTACTCGACACGTGTCTTCGGAAACGTTCTCTCCTATGTGTCCTTCAATCATTGGTTGATGAATCGGCGCTTCGAGCCTACAAATAAGGTCCTTAGGCCTCTGGTTCTGGGTTTTCGAATTTCTCTTCTTCGCCCAACTGCTCTACCTTCTCTCTAGAAACCCTAACCCCCAATTCCATTCAAGGTAATTCCGGCTCTTTTCTTCCTCCTTTAAGCTTTGTTCTTCGTTTGATCAAATGTGTGAGGGTTCGAACTCTGGTTCTTCTAACTCTGACCCCACTATCATCGAGACGACTCAGGGAGATGTGGCCACTAACGTGGTTGACAATACGGCTGACACCAACACTGCCATGGAGGATGCGGCTGGAAATAATGCCACCACAGAGGGTGCGGCTGAAAACCATGATTCCTACGATGATTCTGACGACGCCAAGTCTGGTGATGACATGGAGATGGCTAGGGCCGGTCCCCCAGACAAAATTCTCCCTTACCATTAGGGTCCGAATTCCGAATCTTATTCCTGAACCGGTTGATTTCCGTCTTCACGTTGGGCTCCACCCGCTCCGTCACCGTCCGGGGATGGTAGTGGTACATTACGACTCCGTTCTGGCTGGATTGAGATTCCCATTACATCCCTTCTTTATCGAGTTCTTTAACCATTATGAAGTGGTCCCAACCCAAATAATGTCGAACTCTTATCGAGTAGGCGAGGTTCATCTACTGTTGTGTTGACATCAATAAAACTCTCGATCTAGACCTTTTCCATTACTTCTTTAAGGTCGCTCCCCAACAAACTCGTGGTTACTTAGCTGTGAGTGCCCGTACGGGCCGAATCTTGTTCAAGGGAAATCTGATCTCGATCAAGGGTTGGAAAGACCGCTTCTTTTTTGTTTCTGCCCCGGATTGCCTGATTCCGAAGAGGTGGAACGCCAATCAGCTCAAGTCTACAGAGTTGTTCGTCTCCGAAGAGCTTGGGGAGAAGATTGTCGCCCCGGAGAAGGGCAGCACATCCATGATCCAGGAGTATCTAACCCCCGACCGGCCAATTCAGTCCGAGATAGGTACCGCCCGAATCCCTGAAGTCCTTGACTGACAACCAAGTGTCATGGCCCGGGCGGTCCTTCTCGTGCGGGAAACTTACATGCATTTTGCACGTTTCTCACACATTTTGACCATTCGGTATTAACTTTTTCCTTTAACTTTTTCAGCTCCCAATCCAGAAGCGAACATGGACAGAAGCCGCTTGCAGCAGGTCGGCGGTGCCGGCAAAAGGAAGAGGAAGGGCAAGCAGCCAAACCAGTCTCAAACCTCTGAGGCCTCTCAACCGGCGATCCACCAGCCTCAACCGGTTCAACAAGTGCCACTTGAACAGGTACAATTTGACGCCATGGTGGTGGATCCGCCGTTCAGGGTTCAATGAGACGGAACCCGTTTTTGCTGATCACTTGGACTCGGCCAAGGGTGCCAATACAGAGGCCAAGCAAGCCAATATCACCAAGCGCCTTGAACGAATCACCCTGGAGGACCCCATACATGAAGTGCTGGAACATGGTAGGTGTTCAGCAAGCCAGGTCTGGAACGCCTCTGCCTTCGTCAACGCTTTTGTCATCCCCCCTCTGACCATTGAGCAGCCCGAGGACGGTGTTTCACTGGCTGCCTTAAAGGTACTTAGCTTCCCCGTTCGCTCATTGTTATTACCCTGAAGGATCCAAGTTCCTGAACTTAATCTTTATATAGGTTGGCTTATAGTACCACCTGCTAAAAAAATACCTTCATGATCACGTGCCATGACGTGCACTTGTCGTTAGGTGCACTCAAAATAAATACAATACAACGAATATACGTAGTATAACGAAGTAAGGTTCGTATCCACAGGGAAAGGAATACTTTTCTTTTATATAAGTAGTAACAAAGGAGGGTTTAGATTTGTTTGGTTTAAAAACACTAAGATAAACAACCTATATGAGTTTAATTCAATGAGATGAGGACTTGGTTTTGCTTTTATCCACTTAATGAAATGTTCGTCGATCCCGGTTATATCTTTAACTATCTTCCTCTCGAATACTCAATCGAGGAGTATATCCAGTTCATCGAGGGTAGTTATTAATAACGAGATGCGTTCATTAATAAAACTTACTGTCGAGTCAATATAGAACAAGTGCCGTATATTAACTTGATAG